AGTGGGATGACAAAGAAGAGAGTGAGAGGGAAACAGACGTGCGTGAGCCGCGCTCCCTCTCTGCCCCCTAACACCACCACCACACCCTTCACTCGCTCTTCTTTTTCTTTCCGTTTTTTTTTCGTTCGTTTGCTTTTCAAGCCTCGGCGCACCCCCGTCCCCATCACAACATGGATAGCTATAGAAACAATAGAAAAGGATATAGATGGGTTGATCGATTTGTGGCCGTTCTGCCCGCTCGCCCCTTGGGAGAGGGCGAGTAGGGGAGGGAGGGGGGCGGGGGGAGGAGAGAGGAGGGAAGCCACCCCTCTGACGGCATCCCTTCATCCGGTTGAGTTGCACCCGCGCACGCACGGGAAATTATTCCTGCGTCTGCCCAGCCATCAGGGAAAGCAGGACAGGCAATGGAACGCCTATCTGCTGCTGTAGCAGCTGAATGCGCTCCAGCTGCTCGGACCGGCTGTCGGCGGAGTTCTCTGCCGCATACTGCTCCAGCAGGTCGGCGAACCACTTGGTGCGCTCCTTCCCCTTCAAGTTGGCTGGCGGCCCGCCCTTGAACCACTGCCACTCCTCCTGCAGGAGTTCCTTGTCCATGGAAACAATTTGGTCGTAACGCCTTTCTAGGACCTCTTGAATCGTGCATCCTGCCTTCTGCGCCATAAGGCCGTATACTTTGCGGAACACAGCATTCTTGGGCAGGCTAAATGGGCCTGGGAGCACCTCAACGTGGTTCGTGTCCTTGTAGTCCATGCCACTCTTGAATTGCACAATAACACAGGAAACGTTATCGCGACTACCACGATTTACGGCCTCCTCACAGACTCTACCTGCAATGACGGCAAGGTCATCTGTTGTCTCAAGCTGCTCCTTAATAAAACCCACAACCTCTTCATTGCTGAATTGTCCCTCGAAAACGCCATCGCAGCACAACACAGCAAAATCTTTGCTGCCCCAGCTCACGTCGACATGGGTCACATCCGGAAGCGCAATCACCTTCTGATTTAGTTGGCTACCAGTGGTATTGGTTTTGTAATCACGATCTCCAAAGGCCCGGCTCACAGCCAGGCTTCCGTCAACACGGTTGCCCTCAACACGGCCACCGCAGTCCTCAATTCGACGTCTCTCATCAACGTTATTGGGCTTGTGATCCTCTGTCATTGCTCTAGCTTGGCCATTGACGCAGACCAGAACGCGCGAATCACCAACATTGCCAACCTGCAAGTGAACAGCAGTGTCTTTTTTCATGGCGGAGAAAAAAGTACCGGTACTGCCGCCATCTCGGCCTAAGTCCATCCATTGCTTGTCAATCTCAAGAGCGAGTTCCTTCATGCGATCGTCTGTCATGGGCATCTTCTCCTTTTCAATGGCTTCTTTCCACGCCTCTTCGAGGTACTGCGAGCACTGATCGTTGACATGGCCGTCGAATACGCCAAAAAAACCCCATCCAGGCTGAAGGTAGATGATGTGTGCGTCTTCCATGCTCTCGCGAAATCCGTTGACGCAGCTAGAGCCACAGCGGAATATTTCGTTGCCGCGCCGCTCCCGCAGCTGCGTCATCACAGGCTTTGGTAGGGGTATCCCCATCGCTTCAGCTTTTTATTGTTTTAGGCGGTGTTACGTTTTTTTTTGGTTTTTTCTTCTTCTTTTTTTTGGGTTTGTTGCTTTTGTTTCTTCGCGCTCCTTTGCTGCTCGGTTTTCCTTTTCCTGAGTGTTGCTTGTCCTTCGGCGATTCGTTTCGAAGAGCTTGTATGGTTTTCTCCTACACGACAGCGAGTTACACAAAATTCTTCACCCAGGCACGCACGCACGCACAGAAAAAAAAAAAAGGAGTTTGTTTCAACGCAGCCAAGCTAAACAAAAAAAAAAGAGGCACCCTCCCCCACCCACAGACACACACAGTGATGCAGAAGGCAGCTGCAGAGCAAAAAGGGAGAGACCGTCAAAGGGGATTCATTGCCATTTCGCACACCTTTTCTGAATCACAAACGGAGAAGCAACAACACCAAGCAGGAAATAAAAAAAGGAAAGCAAATAAATCAAACAAGCAACGGTCCCTCGCTGTCAAAATCTTTACTATCGAGTGAAAAGAAACTGAAGATCGTCTTCACTAAGGCTTTGAAGTGAACTTAACTTGCCATCTATGGTACCTTCAATCACAAGCATTTTCTTCTCTTGTAGGTCCATCATGCGCTCTTCAACAGAGTTCTCCACAACAAATCGAATCACGTGTACAGGCCTCGTCTGCCCAATACGATGCGCGCGCTGTGCCGCCTGCATCTCAACTGCCGGATTCCACCATGGATCTACAAGGATAACGTGGTTAGCAACTTGCAAATTTAAACCTTCTCCACCTGCCTTTAGCGAAATAAGAATCGCGCGCACGCCCGCGTCGTGCAAAAATGCTTGCAACACTGCTTGACGCTGGGAAAGCATGAGAGAACCAGTGAGTTTCACTGTCTTCACCGAGGCCCTCTGTAACCATATCTGAAGCAGCTCCAGCATGTCTCCAAACTGTGAAAAAATAATTATCTTTTCATCCTTCGGCACAGACTGGATGTATTCCGTAATAGCATCAAGCTTGCTTCCCTGGATGGGCTTGGAAAAGTCAACTCGCGACAAAACACCTTGTCTTCGTTTCCTCGGTTGTTGAGTGGCCTTCTCAGCGGTCGATAAGGCCCCTGTCGTCGTGGTGCCATTATGGACTAGATCTTCTTCACGATCATCTTCGATAAGTTCATCCTCAAGTTCAGGGGGCATCATTGGCGCAGGTTCCTCTTCGTCCCAGTCAGCGCGTAGCTGTCGCAAGTCAATGTTGATGGTCACAAAGCAGGTTGGGCAATGATATTCATTTCCAGGAGAGCCTTCGATAAACTGAGCAATACACATACGGTGAAATGTATGTTTACAAGGGTTTACTTGGAGGGAGTTTTCACCGCCGCCTTCTGTGCAGATACCACACACTCCCTTCGGATGGACAATCTTGCCCACGTTCATAGACTCCACAACAAGTAAAGGGTGATCAAGAGACTGGCGCAAGCGGCTTAATAGTTGAAAGATATGGGCGTAATTATGCAAAACTGTACCTTTATCTACAAAGGTATCAAAGGTAGCCGTGCTTTTTTTATACAATGATTCGTAAAAATTTCGTTCTTCCTTGGTGAGTTTCACCTTCAGAATATCAATGGTAAGCTGAGGAAGATGTAGGTCACTCGCCCTTTCAATTTTTGTGCGACGCAGCATGCATTTCTGCAGTACTTCATTGGCCAACTTCATCATCCCCTGGCGACCATCGCCGACGTAACCGTAGCGTAATATAGGATTCATTATGTGACGATTGAAATAGGCATAGTGTTGTACCGGTCCATGACCACAAAAGATACATTGTCGCAGGTTGGTTCCTGAAAATGGATGGGAAAACGATGAACAGGAGCATCCTTCTGTTCCACAATAATATCTCGCAAAAGGCGTCATGCGGAGAAAGCGAATAAGACTATATACATCACCCACACGATTTTGTAAGGGTGTTCCTGTGAGACACCATCGATATTCACCCTGTAAAGCAAAAGCTGCTCGTGAAGTACTTGTGTTACGTCCCTTGATACGATGTGCTTCGTCCAATACAATGCGGCTCCACTTTATTGAATGAAAAATAGAGGCAGAAATATCAATATCATCGCTACCATTATCGGTTTCAATAATATTTTTCAATTGCTCCGACAAGACATGATGTTGGCCTGTTTTGGGACAAAAAGGATACCGCAACAGCTGAAATTTGCAGTTGGGACACTGAAAGGCCGAAAATGCTTCCTCCTCTCTGTGTGTGTCTGGTTCCTCTTCTTTTTCCGTATCGTCCTCCGATTCTGTACTGCCGCTCGCTGAGATACTCGTATTGTCGCTACCATCACTCAACTTTCTGGCAGGTTCCCATCGACTTCTAATTGTACGTCCAGCCTCAAGCATAAGTTCACGATACATACCCATTGGTCCAACAACGCCTCTTTCATTTGTGATCTCGGCTTCGTCAAAGACACCTTCTTCGTCATTGTTATCATCGACATCAACGTGCAAGGTTCTGAGACCTTTTTTAATCGTTTCCTTAGACTGAACCCCACGATTGGGTAAAGCCTTTGCGTCCTCATGTCCCTTTTCTCGCTTCCGCTGCTTCAGAGTCTTCTTAGCTTTGGGTCCACAAAAGTATCGATTATGTACAACCAGTTGACGTGGAAGGAAAAGCTGTTCACAATAAGGACAAGGCACTTTATTCTTATTTACCACTGCTCTCCATGAATGCTCCACCATAGGATAGGTAGTTAAGACAACATCTGCATTTTCCATGTCTTCTTTTTTAGCATTAAGAACACGATCTACTACTGCAATGGACAATGTCCCCGGGACAACATGTTCGCTTATTTCAGCTCTCCATTGAAGCATAGAGCTAACAGGACAAACAATTATGGTCGGGCCCACAACACGATTTGCAAGTAGCAGACTGATCATTTGTATTGTTTTTCCCATCCCCATTTCATCAGCCAGAATACCACCCCTAATGTCTGACTGTTCCTGAGCTATCATCCAACTCAGCCCTTCCTTTTGGTATCGAAGAAGAGGACGCAATAATTCAGCAGAGGGCTCCATTTCAGGAAGAGTTCCTCGCTTTACCAAATCATCAGGGTCCAAAGGAAGCAAATGGGGTGGTAAGTGGGAAGAGGTAACTTCGCTCAATACTTCCTCTTTCTCTTTTGTAGAGAGATTTTCAAATCCATAAATCATATCATCAACTGCTTCAGCTAAAGAAATCCGTGTACATCCTAGGTGCTGCCACGCTGATATCCATCCATACTCTCCTTGCGCATGACGAATAGGTATTCCCCATTTAAGTTCCCCCTTCACAATATATTGCGAGCACTTTCGACAACGTGCCCTCATTGTTGGGGCCCGTTGAACAATGTAGCGAACAACCCTGTCCTTTCCTGTTGCACGCTTCCATTGTCCTCTATCCGTGAGCGTCAAGATCGCATTATTAATATTGTTACTCATGTAGCAATAATAAAAAGAAAAACAAATAATTGTGTCCCGATTTCCTAAATTCCTCCATATATAAAGAGGAGAAAAAGAGAACAGCAAGAGAAAATCAAAAATAAGTCAATATTGTCTCAATGTTTACTTAGATATTAGAAAAAAAAGAACACAACAGGTCAATCAGACACAATAATAATAATAATAAACATTAATGTCGCAGAGACAAAATAAATAATAAAAAAAACTATTACCTTACTTCTCCACAGCATTCTTAAAGCTGAGAATCTGATCCGTTCCCATCGCAGAAACTACAACGACCAAGACGTCCTTTCCTGCGTCGAACTGCTCCTTTATCTGGGCAGCCAATTCCGCATTCGGAGGCATGTCCAGGTTGTCGCGAGTCTCTCCTTCATCATCCATCAGCGAAAGATGAGCCGGCTTGCCAGGATCTTCGCGATCCTCTTGAATGTCCAACACGCTGTATGTGTTCGTCTTCACAAAGGGAACTTCCACGTTATGGGTAGTCGGGGCCTGGTCCTCCATCTTGTTACCAGTAATATGTCGGTGGCAACAATGCTGACCTTGGCGTGG